GGGACGCAACAATTTGGTAACGTTGCTGTGGTAAATGTAGCGACGCTTCTTGCGTCCATTTCGGAGCACCACAGCGGAAATATTAACCCTACTAAACACTATAGAGGTGGGGGTCGCTGACGTTTCTAATACAGTCATAAACACTGTTGTGTTTTGCACTTTGGTTTGAGACCTTTGACCTTATCACTCTTTTAATTCCACCTGCACAAACATCTTGGACTCTGAAGCTCCTTTGAGAATGAAACGCACCAAAGCACTTTCGGAGCCCTGGCTATGACTCCACCCGTGCACTCAGACATGTATGTCGCCAAGCTAAGAGAAGGTGGAAGAAAGATAAACTTAGTGTCACATGAAATCCTATAGCAGTATCTGTCTGACCATCAGAGTGCTGTAAAATATGCAAAATCTGATTTTATTTCTAACTTGGTCAACAACTGTCACAGGCCTCAGGTTCTTTTTAATACACCCTTACAAATCCCTGTAATTCTGCTCCTATCATACCTACATTGGACCTCTGTGACTCTTTTCTAAAATTCTTTGTTGAAAAGATTTTTGCCCTTCGATCTTCTGTAACCACATCCTCTGACCATGATCCCTCTGTTCCTCCTATGTGCCTTGCAGTCCTGGATCAGTTTGAGCCTATATCAATCTCTTCCCTATCAAAAATGGTTGTCCATCATTGCGCCCCACGAATTGTCCTTCAGACAGAATTCCCTCTCGTCTGATTAGGGAAATCTTTGACACCACTGGACCATGTATTTTGTTATTGATAAATACCTGTCTTTTCTCTGGTTATGTTCCGTCCACCTTTAAACACGCTGTTGTGCAGCCCCTGTTGGAAAAGGAAAATCTTGACCCCTCTGTACTTTCTAAATTCAGGCCCATCTCTAAACTGTCTTTCTTATCTAAAGTCCTGGAGAAAGTAGTTTTTACCCAGCTGCAAACATTTCTAATTAATTATAATGTTTATGAAAAGTTCCAGTCCGGTTTCAAACCCTGTCACAGCACTGAAAATGCACTTTTTTTTAATGACTTGATTTTAACTGTTGATTCAGAAGTCTTTGCCGTCCTAGTGCTCTGAGACCTCACTGCTGCCTTTGGTTATGTGTTTCTCTTCGACTTGCTTATGTGCTTGTTTTGCTCCAAGATCATCACCATTGACGAGGCTAAGCGTAGGCAGAGCTTTGGCAGCTGCGATGGAGACCTGGCTGTGGAAGCACTGCCCGTGCTCAGTGACACCAGTGACCTACTGCAGGACACACACATTGAGAAGGTACTTGCAGCTGGCTGCTGACCACATAAAGCTCACCACTTACTGTCAAGAAAATTATTAAACTTTAGATTTTTATCATTTGTTTGCCCTCCAGCTTGCCTGTCGCTTGCCAGCCCGTGTGCAGGGTTACCCTGGAGACTGGCCTACAGCACTGTGAACATGGGACCAGCCTGAAGACTCTGTACAGGAGCCTGGCAGACTTGGAGTCCTGTTCTGGTGGTGAAAGACATGGATAACCAGGTAGATACTGTATGCAGATGACTGTGGCTTCTCAGGACGATAATACAGAAGGTGAAAAGTAGCTAAATGAAATGAAGTCTCTTGTTGTTTCTTTTTACTAATAAAAATGAACAACTACACAAACGCTTTCTGATTTGATTTTAATTTAGCAAAAACATACATTACACTACTGCGACTACATTTTTCCAAAACACTAATAATGTATGGATGTTTACCATTTCTAGGAGATGGACTGTGGATAATGATATTAGTGAACTTTCTAGTGTTTAATGGCTATTTAGATACATTATTTAATAGTCGTCTCCTGGACAGCTGTCATTCACCAAGCCTGACTAGACTAGATAAGGTGATTTGCACTGGACCCATATTTGCATCCCAGGTGTCGACCCCATCACCGTGTTCTAAGAAATGCAAAGTAATACTTACCAATGTTCTGAAAACATCTCCTCTAAGTGAAACATATTTATTCCTGCATATGTTGTTTTAGGATTTCCGTCAACAAATAGACAACTGTTCGGTAATAATCTGATATAATGGAAGAACTTGCCATCATACATAATGAAATATAGACAGGGGTTCTCGAAAAAATGTATAGTTGTGGTGTTTCTTATATTGTATATATATTTATATATCCTTCAGTGTCCCAATTCAGGAGCTGGATCCCTTTTTATTAGCTATTATTATAATTTTTTGAAGGCTGCCATGGCAGCATTAGCCGTGAAAATCCTCAGTGTTTTGAGAGTTTAACGTTCATTCAGTTATGGTCCCGCATGTATGATTTTTAAATCCATTCTGACTTTGGCGACTCCTTGTGGTGGCATCAGAAAATGCACTGTAGAAAAAGTCTTGTGCCTACAATATAATTCCACATTCCCGTTGATCATAAAAGTTCACACAGCGGTTTTAACTTCTAGTTGAAGCCTGTTTAGTCTTTTCATCCCAAAATTGAATCTGACTCTTGTCACAGATATTTGGGGCATTCTCGACTCATCCCTTCAGAGTGAGTGAACACTGCTACGGCACAGGAGAGACATTCCTCTACAGCTTCTGTCCTGAGATCAAGGTTTGTTTTTTTGTACTGACTTAGTTTAAGAACACAGCTTGGGTATTCACTTGTAGCATAAATATCAGACATCGTTTGCTCTCTGTTTTCAGGTGTACCGCTGGACAGGGGAGAATTCTTACTTTGTGAAGGGAAATGTTGATTCTCTGCAGATGGGAGGAGGAGGGCAAGTAGATCCACCAGCTACACTGCTAGCTAACTACTAACTTGTTTAATGTGTTTTTTTTTTGCGACCAAGCACACATTTACAGGTGCAGATCAAAAAAATTTTATGTTTTAATGTTGCTTACAGCACATGGAAATCAAAAATCCATATCTCAAAATATTAGAATATTAAAGAATATATAATACAGAAATGTCGACCTTCTGAAAAGTTCTGAAAAAGGTGTACTGAGGTGTTATGGAGAGCAAGGTTGCTTTGATAGCGGCCTTCAGCCAGTCTGTATTGTTGGTCTGGTGTCTCTCATTTTCCTCTTGACAATACACCATAGATTCTCTATGGAATTCTGGCCAACCAAGAACTATAACACCATGGTGAGTTACTAGTGGTTTTGGCACTGTGGGCAGGTACCAAGACCTGCTGGAAAAGGAAATCAGCATCTCCATAAAGCTTGTCAGCAGATGGAAGCATGAAGTGCTCTAAAATCTCCCTGTAGACAGTGTATTGACTGTGGATAAAACACAGTGAACCAACACCAGCAGATGACATGGCACCCCAAATTATCTTTGACTATGGAAACTTCACATTGAACTTCAAGCAATGTGGATTCTGTGCCCCTCTACTTGTCCTCCAAACTGTGGCACTTGGATTTCCAAATGAAAATTTACTTTCATCTGAAAAGAGGACTTTGGACTGAGAGATTAGCCTTTACAGGTGTTTTGAGTTAATTAGCTGATTAGAGCTCTCAGGACAACATTATTTATTTATACATTCTTTATTCTAATATTTTGATATATGGATTTTTGAATTCAATGAGCTGTAAACTATAATCATCAAAATTAAAACAACAAAAAGCCCTGAAATATTTCACTTTGTGTGTAATGAATCTAAGATATAATATATATATATTATATATATATATTAATATATATATAATAATATAAAGTTTTACTTTTTCAATTAAATTATGGAAAATTTAATCAAATGTTTTCAGATGCACCTGTATATCCACAGTCTAAGCAGTTGGGCAGCAAAGTGTTTGCCATCAAATGAATGTGCACCTGTTTTCTAACTTTTCTAATGCCTCCTCCTCTGCAGTGGTCAGCTGGGTCTGTGGCTGGACTCTCAGCTGTACCGGGGCACCACCACCAAATGTGCCACCTTCAACAACCAGCCACTCTCCGCCCAGCAGGACTTCAACATCCACAGCCTGGAAGTCTGGACCTTTGAGTAGGCTCACCTGCTCCAGCTCCGTCCACATCCGCTCTCTGCTCCAAACCCTCAAACACCTCCCAAGTCTATTACGCACCACTTGGAGGCAAACCTAGCTACCCCACAATGACACTAAATGTTCTGTGAGCGAAGTCAGAAAGCAACCTGTGCACTTGTTAAGTTGACTGAAGACAATACGCAAGGTCTTCTGTAGCCTATTTTGAGGTGGGGTTTGGCTCGTCTAGTTCATCTCGTCCTTCCAAAGGCGGGAAGTGTGAGAAAATGTTATGGCTCTCAGTTCATTGGCTGCCTCAGACACCCGACAACGCCTCCAGCTTTCCCAGCATGCAAGACTGCCTTACCACCATAAGCTTATGAAGAGAGAGAGAGAGAGAGAGAGAAGAGAAAGGCTGCTGATGTTAGTGTTGATGTTATAAACCCCAAAAAGAGCTTATTTTTAAGTGTGTATGAAAGAATAAGGTGTCCCATAATGCTGTAGGTGTATTTGTGCAGAGATAATGGTTAATGTAAATTAAATGTTTAAGAATGTACAGGATTATAAACTGAAGAGGTTTGAAATGATGGTGTATCCTTTTCTTTTATTAAATGACGCAATGAATTCCAAATGTGAAGGAAATGAAAATTGCCAGGGAGATTTTTGGACCCTGCGACATTAAATTAATTGTTTACAATGGAAGTATTGCAGATCCTCTGAAGGCCGTCTCGTTCTCTTATTTTTTGAGTTTTAGCTGAACTGAATTAGGATGTTTCATTTCCTCATAACTACATATAATGTTTTAATCCCCTGTACTATCCAAAACAAGTGGTAAAGCCAGTACACATTTGCAATGACCAAATATGTTCTATTTTTATTTCATATTTGTTGTGGGCTCATATTTTATAAAATATTTTAGATTTTTTTTTATTTTTACATTCTGTTTTTACAAAGATTTTTTAAATAGTTAAATTAATACTTTTATAGAAATGTTGTGTTAAATATTTCTGTTTCTGATTGGACCCCTCAAGCACCTGAAATGTTCTCAGTATTGAATTCATATCGCATGGCGACTGATTTTATCGCTTTAATTTTGATTTGTGGTTGTTGTTCAGAGAGCCAGTGGGAGTTTTAACATGTCACATTGCACTACAGGACCGATCGACAGTCACCGCTGTGTCGTGGCCCTTTCTTCAATGTAAAAATATTACTGAATGTTGTTTGATCACCACTGCAGGAGGAACTCTTCCTGTCTGACCACAGGCCAGCCTCCGTCTGCTTTACTTCAAAATGGGTGGGAAAGGGATTTTCTGTTTTTGCACTGGTATGCCACTAATTAACAAAAAAAATCAGATCTAACGTAGAAAAAGAAATGTTCATTTATATCCTGTATATGTGACACAGGCTTGTAGTGCATGAATATGCAATACCGCAAATGTCTGACACCACTGTCATGAATCCTGCCATACTATTCACCCATGTCAGTTATCGCTTCACGTGAAAATGAGCTTTGTTGTCTTCAGCTGTCTAAGTGTGTAACTGTGAATGCTCCCAGAGTATTATTTCTTGTGAATCCAAAAACTGCTGTGGTCTGTGATATCACTAAGGATCTATTTATTGTGTTGTTATGGCAACCACATTTAAACCTAAATAAATATTAAATACATGATAATAGGGTCGTCTTTTATTTCTAATGTTGTTGCCCTTCAGTGGGATCTATTGTACAGATTATGTTAATCTAATTACTTTTTATTGAACATTACCTGTGGCCTAACTGGATTTTCTTGTTATTGTAGCGCTGGTGAAAGAAGACTAATTTACGGTAATGAAGTTACAGTATGACACCCGGATGTAACATGGGGAAGTGGCCGTCCTCTCGAAGATCATTCATTAAGAAGAGGAATCACTACGAAGAAATAAGGCTGACTAGTTTTCACTCGACCTCCGTTTTCAGACACTTCAATGACATTCCCAGAAATAAAGCAGGCTATTAACGAGAAGATCGCGCAGTGTTCTGTTTTTTTGATTAGAGTTTATTTCTTTATGCGATTATTTTTTGAGTTTATGAGCAAGTTAAAGGACTCTATAACATCATGCGGTAACCACAACTGCAGATCGTTTTTCTCACCCATTCCCACATACAATACCATAAATAAATTAAAGATAGGCCGAGACCTTTTTAATTTTTTTGTTCCATTTGTATGAAATGCGTCTTGCATAACAAGGCACCAACACATAACAAAAACATTCAATCCAACAGATAAACAATCACAAATGTTTATATTATAATAAATTATGCTTAAAAATCAACTACATTGCAATCAAGTGTTTAGGATGTTGTATTTTTTGGTGTAATAGAAGTAGAGTGGAAACAGAACAATCATCAGACCATCGACTTTGTACACTGTTTTAATTTGTACAGTACAATCAAGCTTGATATAGGCCTAACTGATTCAGTGTCAGTTATGGATGAGATAGCCTAACGTCTAATATTCTTAGACGTTAATTGTATGTCCATATTGAACTGTTACCCTCATTCCAATCAGACATTGTATGTCTTTATATAATCTAAACATGTGTCATTTATGTCTTTATAGCTAGAGTTTTAAGGACTAAAGTCACTCAAATAACAAACAAAAAAACCACACATCCACAACAAGGACTGCGTGAAGCAGGAGGGAAAATACAGTTGCAAATTTACAATTTGCAAAAGTCCCCTACGGGTCAGTAAACCTATATCTGCTTGCTGTGGCAGTTAATGACCAAATGGGTTAATTCTTTCCTTTGAAATGTCCTTTAAATATTGTTTGGTATTTGAAAAGCAAGTCGAAGATGCCTGTGTGACTGCTCACTTCCCACACCCACAGGGTTTATTTAGAAAAAGCATTGAGCAACCTCTCTTCGCAACACACAGACGATCTTTGGCAGGTTTACGCTCAGTGGGTCGTTGTTTTACCGGCAACAAACTGAGGAAGGGATTCCGGAGACATTTGTCATGAGAAAATATCGGAAAGATGTCAGGGAACGAATCGGACTCAAGTTCAAAAGATGAAACTTGTATTTTCTGTTTGATAGCTCACGAACAAGACAAAGAAACGGAAATCATAAAAAAGGTGAGATCTTTTTAAACAAAGGTGCTTTGCGACTCTAAAGCTCACTTCATGATACTGCCAGGGACAGACACACGACCGGCTTCTTATTAAAATAAGACAAATACCATTAAAATATAAAATAGCCTGTAACATTGCTGGAACAGATTGCAAGTCTCCATCCCAGACAGTTGAGCTTGTAACCACGCCATAGACTGCAGAGAAGTGCCTTACAGTTTTTCTCAAAACTGCTGGGTTGTCAAAATAATTGTCTAATGACTATTAAATTTGTAAAACTATATGACTATTTAGAAGAACATTAGGTCAGTTGTTCACATGACTATATGTCAATTTTAATAGCTTTAGCACAAAATGCACTGAGTAAGCCTTGCAGATCAAAATACTTTGCATTTGTTTGCTATTGAATCATATTTCTTTCAAATGCAATTATACATATGTTCATTGTGTAAATCCTTACATGCTAAATACAGTGACCAACAATCACAATAACCTGTCACACAGTTATAAGATACATAATAGTTATGTGGTATCCTAAAAGTTGTCAGATGGATAGATTTAGGTTGGATGGGGAACAATTTAGAGCAATCAAACAATCAATGTTACAGCTGTGGAATATGGAGCATGCAGGAGACAGACAGGGACAAGAATCTGCTCCTGCAAGAATAAAGGGCATTAGAGTGCAAGGGGGCATCTTGAGAGGGAGAGGAAGAGGGAGAGGGGGGCACAGAGGACGAGGAAGAGCCAGGGAAAGGCAAAGATACAGAGAAATCTCAAATGAGACTCAGGCAACCATTATCAACCTAAGTATGACAAAGGTTTGTCGGAGAGTACACCCTAATCTGGGCCGGTCCACAGTGTCGTCAAATGAATCTTTTGTTGAAAGTATACTGTGTGCCATGGCTGACACCAACACTATTCAGCTGCCTAAAAATACAATGTTAGCAATAGGACAATATTACAAAGTGGGAAACTATCACACTTTCAGAGTACACAGTGTGAAAGAAAATTTCGTCCCAAAGAAGAATCAAGAGTCAAAGGTGTGATGAATCAATCCTTTATGTACATGGCCACGGAAAGAAAGATCCGGTTCTCTCCCTACCTCTAGCATTTCTCTCCTTAAAATACCCTCAAGTACATATGCACGAAGACAAATGGTCAGTCACAGACAAATAGCATCCTGAGATAGCAGAGAGACATACAAATGTATAGCAAAAGGTGTTCCCGCGATCACTGTATAGTGTCATCTATTTTTCTGTGTTACAGTAACATCTCATCTACATGGCAGCAGAGTTTCAATTGGAAGAGAGTGACTCTTTGATATTTTAATCACTGCTGTTGCCCCCAGGTGACTGTTAAACAGATTGGTTAAAAACCTATTTCCAAAGTTAAATACAAACTTATTTCCAAATAATGTAACAATCTTTATTTCTTGCAACTGTCATTTGACAAGATGTCTTTGTAACTCTGCATTGTAACTGTCTTGGTCTAAACAATGATAAAGGAACCTTTTGTTTTGATTACAATGACTTATTAATTGATGAATTTATTTACATTTGAAACATGCAGTTAATTCTTTTGATTGAGTAATGACCTTTAGCAGGTCACATAGAGTGGTGTGCTGAATGTACCATGTGGTCTGAGGATTGTACTTAGAGTTTTGACAATTGTCAAAAATCGAGAAAAACTGTAATAGCACCACAACATTGGACAGTACCCGCTCTATCCTACTCCACACAACTGTTACAGATTGAACACGTAGGCCTACAGTAACAACACTGCATTCACTGGCCTCTAGGTTATCAACTCTATTCATCTCTACATCTTTATCCCCTCCAACAGAACAAGGAGCTGGTGTGTTTCAGGGACATTAATCCTGCTGCTCCCCACCATTACCTGGTTATTCCCACACAGCACATACACAGCTGCTACTCACTGCACAGGGGACACGTCAACTTCGGTCAGTTATAAATATTATATATGCTGCTAATACACATACTGCTGCTTTTACGATAGGGTACTACTAAAACTAGGAATATTACTGCTGCTTCTGAAATTACTTATCTACTACTGTAACAATGCTATGACTGAACTACTGCTAGTAGGCCAGTATTACCTATTGCACTTGTTCAGCTGCTTCAGTTTAATGAGGTGATATTTCAGCAGCCTCATTTGTTTTATCAAGTCAGGTCTTAAAAATAACTGAGTCATATCCCCAACAGTTAAACAAATGGCTGAGATGGGGAAAGCTATACTACAAGACCAAGGGTTCACTAACAAGAAGGACATAAGGTAGAGAGATAAGTGTGTGCTTGGTTTTCTTCTTTTCTTTTAACCCTAAACACAAAGGTTTAAAAGAATAGTTTGATATTTTGGGAAATACGCTTATTCGCTTTCTAGTGGAGAGTTAGATGAGAAGATTGATACCACTCCCATGTCTGTCCTTTAAATAAAAAGCTACAGCCAGCAGCTGGTTAGCTTTGCTTATATCTTAACAAAGAGTAGAAATAGGAGGAAACAGCTTTAATACGTACAAAGTGCACATTGACAATTTGTTACGTACCGGACTATTTTATGGCTAAGAGCCAAAAAAATCATCCACCAAGTAACCCCCCATCAAAAAGCAGATTGTTATTTTAACACTCTTTTAATTCAGATCAAACAAACAAGTTATAGCATGTTAATAAAGTGACGTTTAGAGGTGCCGGTAGATGGATTTTGTTACCATTAGGCTAGCTGTTTACCCCTGTTTCCAGTCT